TTGAATATTTTTGAAATTGTACAATTTGTAATTAATTTTTAAACTTCATTTTTATTAAATACATATTTATTTAAAAAATTTTAATTTAAATGCTAATGAAGTATTAAAAATAAAACATAATTAATTTATAATTATGAATGAATATTTGCATTTGTGAAATATTTAAAATGTCTGCATATAAATTTTACTTCATATGATAATTAATTATAAGTATCAAATAAATAGATAACATAAACATAAATTAAATATTATGATGCAATGACACAAGTACAAGGTGCTATATTCACGCGCATGATCTCTGTAGGTCGAACGAGGTCAAGGTTGTGCTGCAAGATACTTTAAGTGCTTCCACGTTTCGCTAAAATCACATACGGTTTTTCTTGTTATGACGTTCCATGTAAAAAATTGCATGCGAACATTTAAATTACAAATTGAAAATTCTCAGGCAAACTATTCTGAAATTTATTTAAAGTTGAACCCGTCATCAATACAAATTACTAAATTATTTCTACAAACATCAACTAACAGTACAGTGACATGATTATTAGTTATAATTTTCAATATAATTGTTATATACAATTTGTATTACATTATAGTTATCGTTATATATATCGTTGAGTGGGAAATTGTAACTAACAATTATGTTATTATTAGTTCGAATTTACTGGATATTAAATAAATGCTTCGTGATTTTAATTTTTTTAAAAAGTTATATTATAATTCCATTTGAATATAATAATTGAAAAACATAATGTGTTACATAACTTCAATTATTAAATTTTTAAAATTAAATATTTTTCAGATTAATATAATAAAAATAGGGCAATGAGCCAAGCAAGGTCTTAGTGTTGAGTTATCATATAAAATAAAACGTTTATTTCTACATACCTTCTACAATTATTAATGTATATACACCATGTTTAATCTTTTATATTAGTTTTTAGATTAGGTTATACATATGTATTGTTTTAAGATTGTTATTTGAATGACTATTTGATTTTATATTATATCAATTTTAAGATTGAAAATAACCCAATTAGAGTCGAAATGTATGTAAAAATAAGCCTTATTTTTATATTAATTTTATAAATTATTTGAGCCTTTGTTTTTATATTATTTTTCAGATTATTGTAATAATCTTTTTAGTCTATATTTTCGCCGAGGTGCATTACAGAAATTATAAGTACGAAGCTATAATATGATAATATCATTGTACTGCAATATCAGTGCAATATACCGGCTCGCGCAATGCGTATAGTCTGTCCACTTCCTGTAGTGCAAACAAACTTCCACCAACTGCATCGGCATTCATTCATTTTCACACATACATATCAGCGAATCATTGAATGCGAATCACCTCCGCGTCCTCACGCGCTTTTAACAAATACACTGGCTGATATTAATACTCGGCTCGTTTCAAATCTATCGATAAACATCACCTTTACACCTTTTATATCACGTCCATCTTTTATGTGAACTTTGCAGAGTTATTAATGAAGCTACTTGATCTTTGTTCAGTTTATCACGAATAGATTCGTTAAAACGAGAAACCATGAACCCTTTTTAATATTCATTAGTTATTTAATAACGTTACGTTGTTGAATAATGTAGGGTCCAGTAAAGAAAATTAATTATAATTAAATTATAATTATAATTGTTAAAAAATACACGTTAATAAAAAATGCGCTCCTGATTTGCATGAAAAGAGATCAGAATTCTTTTCATAATTTAATCTTTTCTAAATTCATTTTTCCAGTATTGATAACAATTTCCTCAACATTCCTAGATCATGAGATTCAGCATCCTTAAATACCAGTCTCCCGAATTTATCTCCTTCGCATTCCAATAGATAACAACTTTACATTACTGATACTGTGAGCTTTCTGGTCTACAGTCTCTCCAGTATCTTTCTTAAACTTTGAAACCAATGATTCCATTCTATCGCGCTATCTCAAATCTCACACAGCAAAGTAAGACTTACCGTGCGGAGGAATGATACGTCGTCCTGTTCGGAGCCACCCTCGCTGTCGGCCATCCCTTCGACGCGCCTCCTCCGTCTGCGTCACCCCTGCGCTCTCGTGCGTGCGTATGCGGGTGTGCGTGTGTATCTCGCGTGTCACTTCGTGTCCGAGGCACCCTTATCGATGCTCGAAGTGGACGCGGTGGTCATTCACAGTTCCGCGTGGACGGCATGCTCCCGTCGCTACACACGGTTCCCTGGCCTCTTTGTCTTGTCAAGGACGTTGACGATGATGTCAACGTCGGCACGCTGAACCGTCGTAAGGCACCGACGATCACCCACTGCTGATCGGATGACACCCAGACTGCTCGCCGACGTCTTTCGCGCAAGCGCCTAACACCTTCAATCAAATTCCGCATGCTCGAGATTCCGTTAACGCGAAAAATCCCACGTTATGTGGCTATGTTACATGGTTTTCACGTTACACAGCCATCCGTCTCACCGTGAAATATTGTTGAACAATTTTTCTTTTTTTACCTTTCCAATAAATCTAAATAACGCGAAGAGGGTAAAAGGTAGTTTTCGAAGATGAAAACGTATATCGTAAACGTGTTATTGTGTTATCACTTATATTGCAATAACTTAAAGTAGAATGGAATGGTTTTTCTATGTGAATGGTTTTTTAATTTGACAATTTGAATTTTTCTGTTCTATATATTTTTATTTTAATTAAAGAGAAAAATTTGGCTCTTCGTATTAATTGGATTCATCAAATCTTTGAAAATAGAGTAACGTTAAGTGTTTCCAAAGTTTCGATTATTAATGTTCATACATTATATAATGTTCATTCATAGTATTATTAAAATTTTAAAACTCGTCACTTGACGAGACACGTATATTTTGATGATTTTTGTAGTTACATAAAAATAGTTTTCAAGCAAACACATCTTTTATTTCACTGATGAATGCAAAGGCGAGTGTTCATGAGTGAGTCATAAGTGAATGCTTCGACGGATTACGTTACAGAATTAGAAAGTATCTTGGATTACAAGAGCAGGCGGAAAATGTTATAAATAAAACGCCCAATTTAAGATTAATTTGATCTAATTCACTTATATTACGAGTAAAATATAAAAAGCACAAATTTTCTGATTATTAATACTCTTCTTTCGATTTGAATATAAAGATCAAAAATATCGATTAATGATATTTGCAAGCAATATTATTACACTAAATATGAGCGGTAAATGGAATACAAGTTATTAACATTAATTTAAACACATTTAAATAGCTTTTAGTTTTCACACAAGTAGTACAAATAACAGTTAACTTAATTATGGCGTTGCAATGAGAATAAGATTATAACAATAGTTTGTTCTGTAATTTGGAAATATGTGTTATAAATATCGAAATTGTTAAACAATCTATTTGATGTTATAATTTTTTGCTGAATTAAATTCTGCCGGTTTAATTTAATATAATATGTTTACTGGGCTTTTTACAATTATTAATTAATATTTAATACAATTATTAATTACAATTATTAATTACAATTATTAATTAATATTAGATGTACAACTTTGCTTCCGCCGTTTTGGTCGAAATAAATAGATCATAGACGTCATACAATAAACTTGGGCATCTGTCAACATAACCCCATAGAAACATTAGTCGATTTGTGTCTGCATCATAAATTTATTCTCGATTGAAAATGTCAGTTTATGAGCCAAATTCTCGTCATTTGCGGGAGGTTTTAATTTTTTGCTTCAATATAAAGAAATCTGCGGCTGAGGCTCATCGAATGTTCTCAAATACTTATGGTGAGGCCGCTATTAGTGAAAGAAGTCGTGAGTGGTTTCAACGCTTCAAGAACGGTGATTTTGACGTCGAAGACCGGCATAGCGGTGGAAGAGAGAAGGTTTTCGAAGATGCAGAATTGGAGGCATTACTTGAGCAAGACTCGTGTCAAAATCAAGAAAAATTGGCACGATCATTGGGAGTGACTAAACGCCTCAAATGGGAATGATTCAGAAGCAAGGAAATTGGGTGCCGTACGAATTAAAGCCGAGAGATGTTGAACGGCTTGTGAACAGCTGCTTGAAAGGCAAAGACGGAAGGGATTTCTGCATCGCATTGTGACTGGGGACGAAAAATGGGTTCATTACGATAATCCCAAGCGCAGAAAATCATGGGGAGTTCCCGGCCATGCTTCCACGTCGACGG